TGGACGTTTGGTAGCATGCAAATCCGAAATCAGTCTACGCCCAGGCCTTCTGTCCACGCGGAAAGACACGAGACCGAAAAGACACGTGGTGTAGTATAACTCCGTAGGCCACGCCTCGCGAGCATTTGGTTCGGGATGGGGGTAGGGCATGGAGGTATTCGTATTGTTTGAAGTGTCATCAACTACCGGAATCCTACACAAAACAACAATCCGTGAATGCCATACGACGGTGGGGGAACAACTACCTCTTCATATTTGCAAACCGTTCGAACTAGCAACGCCGGTAAATGAATGCCCATGCAAAAATCGCTGTTGGAACCAATGTCGAAACCTTGCAATTGATGATTTCGGAAAAAGATGCGCAATATTTCGAATGGTTTCGGTTTGTCTCGACGTTTTGGACTTGCAGGATGGCTGCGTTCTCGAAATATGCCCTATAGGACAAACCCTTGCCGCCATGCTTTTGCCGCCGGGGCTTTCGGTGGAGCTCCGCATGGGGAATTCGCGTGGTGGGTGCGCCGAAATTGGGCGGCGGCGCCATGCAAACTGCGCCGCTGGGGCTTTCAATGAACTTCCTTACGGGACCTCGGAGCGTGTTGGGGGTGCGCCGAAACGTGTGAATAACACCGACATGGGGCGGGGCCGCCATGCGAATTTTGCCGCTGGGGTCGGTGGAGCTCTTTGTAAGGTCACGATTCGTGCGATGGGTGCACCGACATGGGGCGGCGGTGCCATGCAAACTGCGCGCTGTGGTCTTCGTTGGACTTCCTTGCGAGACCTCGAAGCGTGTGAGGGCCAGGCCGCCATGCGAACGTTGCCATCTGAACTTGCAGTGGGCCTCTTTGTTGGGGCCTCGAAGCGCGTGGGGGTGCGCCGACGTGGGGCGGGGCCGCCGTGCGAAATGGGCCACTGAGGCCTTTCGGTAATGAGACGGGGCCGCCGTGCGAACTTTGCCCCTGGGGCCTTCGGTTGAGCTCCCTGTGGGGCCACGGAGCGAGTGAGAGGTGCGCCAACATGGGGGAATCTTGCCATTCGGGCCTTCGGTGGAACTCCCTATGGGGCCGCGTTTCGTGAGGGGTGCGCCGACATAGGGCGGGGCCGCCATGGGAACTTCCTTTGCGCGGCCTCGAAACGTGCGAGGGGTGCGCCGAGGTGGGGCGGGGCCGCCATGCGAGCTTTGCAGATGTGTGGAGGGTGCGCCGAAATATGGCGGGGCCGCCATGCGATCATTGCCACTTGGCCCTTCGGTGGAGATCTATGGCCACGAAGCGTGTGAGAGGTGCGCCGCAATGGGGCGGGGCCGCCATGCGAACTTTGCCGCTGGGGCCTTTCGGTGGAGCTCCCTATGGCGCCGCGAAACGTGAAGGGCGTGCCGGAACAGAAGCGGAGGGCGGAGGTAAAACGGGCGGCAGAGGGAGGGATGTGGAGAAGAGGAAGGAACGTGGTGCGCTGTCTCTTCAAAACTGGGGCCCGTCACGACAGGATGTTTGGGTTGGGAACAACGTTGCGTAAAAACGCGGCGTGGCCGCGCGAGCATCGCCGACTCGACGTCCAGATCGACGCTCCGCATCCGGCGCGCGAAATCAGCAAGCGCCGACCTCCGCCGGGGCGCCGTGCGCTCGAACGCCCGGCCCGCGCCGAGCGCCTCGCCAGCCGTGCCGCCAGCTCTCCCCCGGCCGCCTCCACGTCTTGATACTGTCCCCCGCAGGCGGTGCTCGGGGCTTCTGCCCCTTTGCCGCTTCCGCCGCAAGCGGGGGCGGTCGGGCCCGTGCCGTCAAACAGCGCCTCGGGAGAGGCCGAGCTCAGCGCTCGGCGGTCCGCGGCGCTCTGCCCGCCGCCTGCCTCGGCTGCCGCGCGCCGCTGCGGCCGTGCAAGTGCTTGGCGGCGGCGTGGAGGCGAGCCCTGTAATCCCTGGCCGACTCCTGACTCTTGCGGGGGTGGCTGGCGCGCGCCTAAGCGTAAATTCCGACCTTGCCGCCCGTCAGCCGCGCCGCGCGCAGTGGGGCCCAGGGCCGTGCCTCGGCCAGCTCGCCGCCCAGCGCCGCCGGGGGCCGCGGCGGCGAGGGCTGCCTTCGCCCCCCCCCCCCCCGGGCAGGGCCTGCTGGATGATTGGGGGGGGGGGGGGGGGGGGCAGCAGGCCCCCTCCGCCCCGGCGGGGCCCCGAGCCCGACCGCGGCGGCGGCTTGCGCGCCCGCGCGGTGAGCTCAGCTCGTTCAACCCGAGCTCGCCCGCCTGGGTGCTCCTGAAAAGCTCTCCCTCCTGCGGCCCGCAGCGCCGTGGGCTCGTCGCGCGGCGGGATGAGCTCCGGCCACTTAGCGGCCGACCAGCTCTCCCGTCGCGCACCGCCCTGCAGCGCCTTGAAACGCAGCGCGAGGAGGTCCGCGACGGCCGCGGCGCGGCCCTGCGCCGCCAGATCGAGCGCCTCGGCGAGCGCGTCTGCGCGCGGTGCACGGGCACTCCGATCTCCTTCGCGGGGTGCTGCGGCAGGTAAACCGTGAGCAACCAGCGCAAGGCGATCCCGCTCAGAGGGTCGACGGCGGCCTCGCCCTCCTGCGCTCCGAGGACGTCCGCAAGCTGGCCGAAGCTCGTCTCCGCCAGTCGCCCAGGCTGCTCGGCCGCCGACTTGCGACAGTGGGCCCGCTTCGACGACGGGCCGCGGGCGATCAGTGATCTGTCCGCGCCGGAGATGCCCTCCATGCCGAAGCCCTCGTTGCCGCCCTGACGGCCATCCAGCAGCCGCGCGAGGACGCTCGCCGTTTCCTGGGCGCCTCGGGAGGCGCTGCCAGCGGCCCCTCCAGGGCGGCTCCAGGGAGTGCGAGCCGCTCGGCGCTGCCCTTGGGTCGGGGGCCAGCGCCGTCATCTTTGCCTCGCCCCGCGCGACCTTTGCGGCGCGCTCCTGCAGCACCTCTGCGAGCGGGCGCTTCGCCAGGCGAGCGGCGCCCGCCTTGCCCGCGACGCGCGGCGGCGGCTCGGCGGGGGGCTGCCCGCCTCGCGCCCGCGCAACGCCGCAAGACGATCCTTCGCCTCCAGCGGCCGTGCTCGCAAGCCTGGCTGAGGGCGCGCTGCGCCAGCGGGCCCATCCTCCGTGCACACCTCGGCGAAGGGGTGCCCGACGCCTGCCTGGCCCGCAGCGTCTTCGGGGGGCTCGTCCCCGGGCGGCTCGGCTCCAGGCGGCGGGCCTGGCAAGTCGCGCGGCCGCACCGCGCCGAGGTTGGTCCCCCGATGCTCCTCGGACAGCGCCGCCGCCGTCTCCGCGGTGAGCGCCTGCACGTCCGTCTTGTGCACCAGCTCCGTGCAGTTCTGCGGCATGAGGGCGCCGCAGGCTCCAGCCTCGCCCTCGCAAGCGTGGAACATTGGGCGGAACGTGACGGCGCCGCGCTCGCCCGCGTACGGGGACCACCAATCCCAGTAGCTGTCGTCGCTCCACAAGCGCACCCGTGCGTAGCGACCGCGCCGCGACTGGCGCTGGCATCGCCGCGCGAACTGGCACTGCACCTCGCCCGCCTCGGTGTAGCCCAGCGACGCCTAGAGGCCGCCGTCGACGAGCTCCAGCACCCCCACGACGGCGAGCTCGTCGTCTGCCGCTGCCGCCGCGGCGCCAGCTCGCCGTGCGCCTCGAAACGCGGGCGCGGCCGCGAGGCCACCAAGGTCCGAACCCTCAGCTGCGCCCGCCATCTGGCCCCCGCGGAGACCGCTCCAGTGCGACCCAGCGCGCGAGCTCCGTCGCCAGCGGCAGGCTTTTTGGTCAGCGGGCCGAGAGCGGACCTCTTCCGGTCAAGAGCTCGGCGCGAGCTCCGTTGCCAGCGGCAGGCCGCGCCAGAGGGCCGCGCCGCCGCCTCGGCGCCTGCGGGAACCCTGCGGAAGCCGCCCGCCAGAGCCGCCGGCCCCGCCACGCGCGCCGTCGCCGCCGGAGGGGGAGGGGGGCGCCCTCGGCGTGCTCCCCCTCCGCGGCGCGATGCCTCGCGCGCGGCCGGCGGGGCTCTGCTCGCGGGCGGCGCCTCGCGATGCCCCGCCTCTTGAGCCCAAGGGGGCTGCGAGTAGGATGACGGCGTTTCAAGACCCCCCGCCCCCCGTATGTTCACACACATTCGCGTATACGGGCATTTATGTATGTGTATGTGTATGTGTATGTGTGTATATGTGTATATGTGTATATGTGTATATGTGTATATGTGTATATGTGTATATGTGTATATGTGTATGTATATATATACATATGTGTATGTATATATATATATATATATATATATATATATATATTACATATGTGTATGTATAAAATGAACATAAATGGCAAATACTGTAGTGCATACTACAAATAGGAGCATCGGGCAGCGCATTTCGTTTCATTGGCTTGTTGACGGCTTCTCTTGCCCAGGGCCTCGTCTTTCCCAAATTCTCGAAGGAATCTGGACCCTCGCAGGCAAGAGCGTGTGCGTGGTGGCCAACGGGATGTTTCAGCAAACGGACGCGATGGCCCGATCACATGCGCGAGGTGGTCAGAACCTTGGCCAGCCGATCGGGAGAGAGAGAGAGAGAGAGAGAGAGAGAGGACGAGGACCATAGCAGTGCCTGTTGATCATGATCATGATTATGATGATGATGATGATGATGACGGTGACGACGGTGATGACGGTGATGACGGTGACGATGACGATGATGATGATGACGATGATGATGATGATGATGATAAGGATGATGGTAATGGTGATGGTGATGGTGATGATGATGATGATGATTATGATGATGATGATGATGACGGTGGTGATGTTGGTGATGATGATGATGATGATGATGATGATGATGGTGGTGGTGGTGGTGCTGCTGATGATGAGCCTGGTGCTGATTCTGATGCTGATGCTGCTGCTTCTGATACTGCTGCTGCTTCTGATTCTGATGGTGATGATGACGATGAAGGTGACTCTGACGGTGATGAAGATGATGGTGCCAATATGATGATGGTCATGCTAATGCTGATGGTGAGGATGGGAAGTGATGATGGGAGATGCGCGGGCCGACTATGTCTCGCTTGACCTCGATTTGGCGCTCCTCGATGCTCTCGGCGTCGGGCCTCTCGGCCACGTCTCGCACCGCGGGGGTGCTCGGCACGGGGCGTGTACGCTTCCGTGGGCGGCCCCACCTTGACGGACCGCCCAGGGATGGGCAAGCAGGCGGCTCACTTGCCCGCGTCCTGGCAGTCTGTGAGGCACTCGACGTAGGCCTTGCCCGCCTCGTGGCACTTGTCCACGCACTGCGCGGCGCAGAACGGGCAGTCCAGGCCGGACGCGCGGAGTCCCTCCTGCGGGGTGCTGTCAGGAGCGTCCCCGGCCCCGGGGTGTCCACGGGACTTCCGAGGCCTCCACGGCCCCCAGAGCACCCCGCACGAGGCCCACAGGCCCCCGGGGCTTTTCCAACCTGGAGCGGACCGCCAGGGACACTTCCAGCAACCGCCGATCCTGGATGAGCACCAGGAAGCCGCTGTTGTGCGACTGCATGTTCTTCATCGAGCTCTCCAGCGCCGCCTTCGCCCGCTCCAGGCCCTGCATGTCGCCGTGCTCCACCGCGGTGATGGCGGCCTTCATGGTGCTGATGTCCTGGTGCCGGATGGCCAACATCTTCTGGAACTTGCGGTCCTCCTTCCTCTCGATGGCGCGCATGATCTTCGCGGACCTGTTGTCCTTGGACTTCTCCAGGGCCCTCGCTCTCCTACCGTGCGGTTGCAGCAAATAACCTTCCAACCCCTTGGGAACGTAGTGCAACTATTGCAGGTCGTGTTGAAGAATTGTCCGGGGGACTTCCCTGGGAGTAGTTTTTCATCATGGCTCCGTTTCTGACGGTCCTGGAGCCCAGCAGCCCGCCCTGGAGCACTGCAGGCCAACAGCTAAGAGAATCCGAAGGCATCGAAGACAAACAAATCGACTAATCGAACTGCAGTAACCTGGGCATTCATGTGATCTTGGCGGTGCTCAACACGCATCACCAATCTCGCTGCGTGACACTTGGCTGCCGGTGCTGCGTTCGAAAGCGCGCGGGCACGCACTTACCTCTGTTCCATGCCACGCGACGTAGCGCTTTCGTACGTTCACAAACGAGACCTCCCAAAACACATGCATGCATCAGACTGCTCCGTTCTTCCTCCTCCTTAAGAGCAGGATGCGTCGCCCACGCGTGCGCCTGGTGCGAGGGTGAGACCGGAAGAGGAGAAGGACGGGGGGGACCAGAGCAAACAAAAGACACACCAACGCTGCTGTACGACATCCTCCCGTCCCAAGTCCCATCCACATACGTCTCTGCAAGCCCTCCCTTCCAGTTCGAAAAGCACCCTTCCGAAAACCAGCACCAGGTCTGCCGTTCAGGCGAGGGCCCCGTTGTGACTACCTACCAGACCACCCCAACCCAACCCGAAGACCCGAATTTTGCCCGAAGTTCGAGTTGGGGGGGGTACGGGCTTCATTGATATATATATATATATATATATATATATATATATATATGTGTATATATAAATATGTATATATATATACGCATGCAATGTACAATGTATGTGTATATGTATATGTATATGTATGTATATATATATAAATAAATAATAAAACAAATTCTCCCCGACCCCCTCCCCCACTGAAGGTGGAGGACAAATCGGGGCCTTCGGGTTGGGATGGGGTGGTTTGGTGGGCGGTGACGTTGTGAAATGATACGAACTGCCTGGTATCCTTCCAGCGAGGAGCGGAAACACCGCAAGAGGTGTGACCACACGGTTCCGGCGAGGCCCCTCGTCGAGAAAGGACTGCCTCAGCTGTGCAGCTCTTGCAGGAGCTCCATTTCTGGCTACGAGCTATGAGATTCGAGGAACCTGTTCGAGCGAGAGGCCGGCTGATTTTGAGAAGGGGTCGCCCTCCATCCTCCCAGCTGCACACTTCGAGGTCTCTAGCGACCGCCCAGTTTGAAAGTGAACCGCCTTTCATCCGTGCAAAAGTTATACCTGTTCAGCCATCCGGACTTTACGTTGCGTGAAAACCAAACGAAAACCCGAGTGAACCGCCCTCCGTCCTTGACGCTGTTCACCAAGCGTGCGTGGCGCAAGGGCGAGAGTTCCATTGTGAAAGCAGCCCGCCATCCACCTTAGAGGCTGTTTCGACCTTTTAGAAGCGAGTGTGTGCGCGGCTCGAGGGCGACAGCCCAATGTTGAAAACGGCCCGCCCTCCATCCTTAAAACTGTTACAAAATGAAGCTTCGCTATCCTAAGCGGCGAAGAGGCTTCACGCGAAATGCCCCGCCCGCCCTGTCGACACGTCTGGGGGGGAGGGGCGACAGGGAAAAATTCTTCGGAAGGAGAAAGGGATAAGGAGAAGGAGGAGGAGGAGGAGGAGGAGGAGGAGGAGGAGGAGGAGGAGGAGGAGGGGGAGGAGGAAGAGCACGAGGAGGAGGAAAAACACGAGGAGGAGGAAAATGATGAAACACGGGCACGCGCCCCCCCTCCCTGACACCATTTGCGGGGGGGAACGGCTGGGCGGCAGAGTGGGCACGGTCCCCTCCTTGTGGCGTTTGCGTGTGCCTCCTCGGCGTGGCGAGTGTTCGCCTCGAGACTGGAGAGGCGCGCCTGCGGCGAGGAGGGAAGGAGGGAGGAGGAGCAAAAGAGAGGGGGAGAAGGATAAGAAAAGGGAGAGGAGGAGGGGGGGGCGAGGATAATTAGGAGGGGTGAGGAGAAGAAGCAGGATGATTATGATGATGATGATGATGATGATGATGATGATGATGCTGATGAGGGTGATGATGATGCTGATGATGCTGATGATGATGATGATGCTCCCCGCGTCTAAAGGGCACAAGGGGCTCCTTGCTCGTGCTGCCCCTCCGACCGAGGCGTTTCACTTTGGCCCTGCGGTGACAACGCTCGGTCACGTGCGCCTCGGCGCACGCGCGCAGATTCGACCGAGTGCCGAAAGAAACTAACCGCCTCAGCCGAGGCAAGCGGATGACCGATCCCAGCGGTCGGAATGACTCAGCCCGCGCGGCAGCTAGCAGAGGCCACGCTGCGCAGACATGCGGGCTGGCACACAGCATTGCTGTACGCCGCACCTGAGAAGCAACCGAATCCACGGTTCCAGGCCGCGCGACCGACGCGGTTGCTCCTCAGGCCTGTGGAATTTGAACCAAAGTGTGGGGCGAACCCGCGCTCTCGGGTCGCCCTCCACGCCGACAGACGTGCGGGCAGCTGTCGCGCACGGCGCGCCAGAAGCTACATTGAACGGATGGCGTGCTAGCGCGATGCGAAGGCTGGCGCTCCTCTGAGACCCATCAGCAACGCATCCCGTCGATTCGGCTCCCGGCCCCTGAGACGGACTGGTTGCATTGCCAATGGCGCAGAGCCCGGTCCTGAGTGAGGGCGAACCTTCGCTCCTGGGTCAGCCTCCGAAGCTACCGCTCAGGGCAGAGCTGCACGGAAGGCGCGCCTCGCGGCACTAAAAAAGGGGGGGGGGGGGGGGGGGGCAGCCTGCTGCTGCCAGTGAGTGCAGCGCAGCGGTAGCGCTGCTGGTATGAAATGGCGCTCGCGCCAAACAGATCGAGCCAGGCGGTGCAAGCGCGCGTCGGGCGCCGCGCCGCAGGACAACACCTCGCCGCCAGCGTCGCAGCACCTCCCTGGGGCAGACCCAAAAAGGGACGGCTGCAACGCCGTTGGCAACGGATCCCGATCCTATGTGCAAGCGGGCCTACACACCTGGTTCAGCTTCCGCTCAAGCGATAGAGCTCGTAGGCACCAACGTGCCGCGACCGGGCAAAGCAAGAGCGGCGCGCAACACGGGGGATAGACCATCAACAGAACATCTCGACCCTAGGCTCCCAGCCTCGCGCTCAGCCTGGTTGCAGTGCAAATGGGTGCGGGGCCCGATCCCATGCGCGGGCGAACCTACTCACCCGGGTCAGCCTCCGCAGAAGCTTGCCGCGCGAGAGAGGCAGCCGAGCTGCGGTGGAAGGCAGCGCCGAGCATGGGGCCATGCTGCAAAAAGAAAGAGAAAGCCAGCAGCACCGCATCCTGTCCCTTAGCACGCTGCTGGACTGGTTGCGGTGCCGCTGGCGACAGAGCCCGATTCCGCGTGTGGGCGAACCTGCGCACTTGGTTCAGCCTCCGCTGCAAGCTGCAAGCAAATGAGCGCGCGCACCGAGCCTATGCCGCATATGCCACGCACGCGTGAGCAGCAAGCTGCGAGCAACGTCGACGCGATCTAGCCGACAACAGAGCAACTGTCCAGATGGCCAATGCCTCGCGCTAGGGCTTGTGGCATTGCCGTCGGCATCGGGCCCGACCCCGTGCGTGGGCGAACCTGCGCGTGTGGTTCTGGCCCAAGATAAGCAGGGCTGACAAGCGGCCCATGCGCCCGCGCATGCGGCGCAAGGGCTCAGGGTCGCCGGCGCTGCCCTGCCCCGCTGGCTGCAGCCCGCGCTCGAGGCGACCGAGGGCCGCCTGCTGCCTGTCGCTCTTGGGGGCCTTCGGGCATTTCTCTTCGTCGAGCCTGCCATCCTGCCGCTCTACGCCCAGTGGCCGCGCATGACGCAGAAGAGGTGGTTGCCTGCGCGCCATAGCTCGTGCGAGTCGTGCGGGTCGAGCCCCCGCCACGATGGAAAGGCTGGTGGGGGCGGGGGCGGCGGCTGCGTAGCAGGCTGCGCGCGCGCAGCCGCGGCCGCGCCGCCGCTGCAAGCCGAGGCTCCACCGCCGCCGCCGTCGCGGCGTTCACCGTCATATGATGTAAATCCGTGCGCGCCACTGGCCTGGCTGGAGAGGGGCGCGGCGCTCGCGGTGTGGATCGCCACTGCAGCTGCGACGGAGTCCGAGGCGCCTTCTTCGCCCGAGGCCCACGAAACAGAGATCGCCTCGGCCGCGTCCAGCACGCCCCTGGCAGGCCCAGAGCGTGTCTCTGCCGACCTCCAGCCGCGCGCCGTGCCGACCGCGCGTCATCCTGGGGCAATCGCGGAAGCTGCAGTTGCTACTCCAGCGCAGCTTGCGTCCGCGCAGCCGCGCCGCGCTGCTGCCATGCCTGGGCCGCCATGGGCGTCTTCCGCCGTCACCTCGGCGCCGCCTTCCTGCATGGCAGCTCTCAGCCAGCGAGGGGCCTTCCTGACTAGGCGATCCTGGCGCAGGCTGCGCGCGCGGACAGCCTCGTCTGAAGGGCGCAGCTGCGCGCGCTGGATGGCGCGCGCGTCGGCCCCGTGGTTGCCCCGACGCTGCCGCGCGGTGATGCGCTCGGCCTGCGCATCTACCAGCGCCGTGTGGGCCTCCACCTTGTGGGTGGTGATGTTGTCGATGCCGATGTCCTCGACCACCGCCCATTGGCGCACCCCGGGCCCCCTGCGGGGCCTCTGCCGCAGGAGGCGCCGCGCCTTGCCCGCGTCGAAGCCGTCCGCGAACAGCCGTCAATCGGTGGGGGTCCTGACAGGGGGGATGCAATTTTGGAGCCCCCCGATGGCGGCGGCCAACTCCACCGCGCTCGGCTCCTGGGGGATGGCCAGGGCAGCGGGCCGAATATGCTGGCGGCCTCAGCGCCCTGACTCATAACGACCACTGCCCAGCCACCGCGAGCTGAGACCAAACTCGGGTCCAGGACGCCGCCGTCCGTGAACAGGTCGTCGATGAGGGGTTGCCCCGCCAGGTCGCCGCGGCCCTCCTTGAGAGCCGTCCTCTCCTCCGTGGGCAATGGGAGAAACCTCCTGTGCTCTGGCGCGAGCGCCTGCGACCGCGGGGTCCTCTGTCTCGTTCGTGCTGGCCATGTCAACGATGGTCCTGACGTGGATGTCGTCTGGCGGTCGCCTCTCGTCGCCGTCGTCGTGCGCCTCCCATTCGGCGCGGCCGCGCGCCGCGGCCAGGCACTGCCGGGCCAGGTGTTGCACGGCGCCGCGTGCCTGACACCCTCGGGGACGCCGTGGCGACGATGCTAGCGGACGCTCAGCCTCGAAACGCCGAGCCACTGGCCAGAGACATCAAGCCAGAGCGTTCTTGGCCGAGCTCATCTGCTTGGCCGTCTGCCAGCTCATCCTCTTGCGGTGCAGGGCACGCCTGATGCTGGAGAGTGCGCCCCCTCCAGCCAAGTGCTCGAGGCCAGGGTGCCTGGCCGCGCCCCGCCACGGGAACCGCTCGTGGCTCGCAGCAATGTCCTTTGTCAATGTAGAGGGCCCCAGGGTCTTCAGGTCCACGGGCTGCTGCAGGTCGTTGAGGAAGAGACCTGGCCGAGCAGCGGGCCAGCCCAAGCGGTGGCGCGCCAGCGCGCGTGCCGATGCAGGCCCTGGGCCCTCCAGGGCCTCGATGCTCTCCTCCTCCTCCTCCTCCTCCTCCTCCTCCTCCTCCTCCTCCTCCTCCTCCTCCTTCTCGCGTGCCGAGGCTCCCGCGAACGCGCTGCCGACGGCCCGCAGGTCGGCGCGGCCCGAATTGGACTGCACGGCTTTGGCCCACGTCACGATTGGCAGCGAAACATGGCCCAGGAACGGGTCGCTAGCCAGGCGCTTGCTGAGGAGGAAACTGAGGCTGAGATTCTTGCCACCTGCGGCGAAGGCCAGCCAACCGCGCTTAGGCCGTGCCGCGTAGCTAGCCGAAAGCCCGTGTTGGCCACCCTCACCGCGGCGGGTGTCTCTTGCGATCGGATCGCGTGCAGCCTCTGGAGCTGCGCGGCTGCCTTCGAGTGACGCATCTCGAAGGCGACGAAGACCTGGCCGTCGATGCAGTATTCCACGCCGGGGTTCTCGACCGAATCCGCGATGGGGAAAGCCCGGTCGCCCATCTGCTTGGCCGCGAGCGAGGCGAATTCGGGCGAGCTTGCCAACAGCTCGCTCTTGGACTCCGAAACCTTGCAGCCCAGCGCCACCAGCTGCGAGACCAAAGCCTGAGTAGCCGGGGCCACGTATGCCGCGACCTGTGCCATGGGGCCGTGACAGCCCGCGCTGCAGTCGTCGAGCATGATCGCGAGCGTGACGCGCGGCTCCAGCACTCTCCACAGCCGAGCGTGCTCGTCGGCGAGGACCATCAGGCCGCACTTGAGAAGCCTCCCCACATGCGACCAGCAATGAGGCCCGCGTCCAGCAGGAAGGGTTCCGAGACGCTGCCGTCGAGCATGGACCGCCGCTCGCCGTAATAGAGCGTGAGGGCCATGCCGAGGAACCCACGCGGGTCACCTGCCAAGGAGGAGGAGGAGAAGGAGGACGGACGAGGAAGAAGAGGAGGATCGACCAGTTTGCCTGTTTGGTGGTCAGGCTCGTTTGTTTTCAAACCAGATTCTGAGGATGTCTCGGGCGAGGCGCTGGTTTCAGCACACCCAAGGGGGAGCCGCCAGGGGGTATCGCACTCTTCTGTTCGCGCTCAAACTGTCTGGATGTCTCGAGCAGTTTGCTTGTTTCCTGACGGGAATGGACTACCTGGGCAACGGAGCGGGCCTCACGCGGGACAGGGAAGGGCTGCTGGTAGCTTGGATCGACTGCCTGCGCCAACGGGGGATCGCTTTCGGCTCGGCCCACCT